TATACTTAAGCATTTATCAGATTAACATAAGGGTATATGACCCCACAGGGGATGATAACACTGGAACGTAGGCTGTCTAGCTGAATCTGTATAAATAGAGCTATCAAAATCAGTAAGAGTCCTAATGAATTGTCTGGAAATGTTGATAAAATTGGTCCATATGATTTTATTTGCTCATTTTCCCATGGTGGATTGCTTATCGTGTGACAGAGGGCAGAATTTGAGCAGCAAAGCGCATGAAGTTGTTCGGGTATCACAGTTTTTTTCGCAAGTACCATGCACAAGTTCTTATAACAACCTTCAACTGGATTAGGTTGTATGGTGCATTGACAATGATAGAAGCAAATGTAACAGAGGATCTGAATTCTAAAATCGCTGGGCGTATGACCCCGAAAAGAAAGGCATATCTTATCTATCAAGCGTCTCTGCCTCCGCCAAACAACCCAAGAAGTCTCACCTAAGCGGTGCTTTGCTCATGCATTCATGCACGCGTGCATTCATTATGACTGACCTGCCCTAGGAAGGTCCATTAAGTGGAACTCATTTCAAGCACAGATGGTCCTGAATAGCTTAATGTCTGCCTGGTGGCCAGAATAAGTGAATTCTTGATGGCCTTAGACTTCTGATCACATACATGCAGCCAAGGAGGAAATGAAAACATGTTTATCATTTTGATAAACAACCTCTCTCATTGCTGCAGGATGCTCCATGTAACTCAGCAGAGTCAAATACTATTAAATTGTCATCACTGTCAAAGAGAGAATGTATAAGTTTTGCTACCTGAGTTATAGTTAATGACTTCCACAATGTATAACACAAATCAGTACTGCTGTTTGCCTTTTTTATGTTTGTTTACTGATAAGTTCAGTCTTGGCTAGAATACAGAGGCGAGTTATAATTTTGAAGTGCAAAATATGCTTTTATTATTACCTCTCAGCTAGAGATATAAAAAACAGCGATGACTAGAAGATGGCTTTTTGGCTTTTGCCAGGCATGCGCTCAGACCCTATAGGTGATTAGAAATTTTAAATCACAGCCACCCACAGTAGGCTCATACTTATGATAAAATATTTCACTCTGCAGTGTGTAAACTCAAGGTGGCTTTATAACAGAGACAGAAATGAACATGATCTTGGGAGTTAAGTGTCCTCCAATTAAATTAAACCATTTGCAGAAGTAACAAACAATTGTCCTTGCTTTACAGTAAGAATGATGTATAATTTCTACAGTTTCATATTTTAAGCCTATGCAAAATAAAGACTTCCAGAAGGCCGGAAAGTATGAGCAGAGTCATAATGCCGCAGATAGTTGTCATCTTCGACAGCCCAGAATCCCTCCTGGCAGCCAGTTCTGTCCCTCTTGCTTTGGCAGGCATCACATTTCCTTCATGCAAAGTTGAGGGCACCCTGTGAACTGACTGCTCAGAATGGATCAGATGTTCTTACCATCAAGTCCTGCTAATGTTTGGTGTGAAGAGGATATAAGTCATGTCAGGGTGTTTTCATTCATCTCTGAAGCTTCTTGAAGAAAGATCAAAGCTATTCCTGATTTGCAAGTTCCTGTTCCATTTCTAATCTTTTTCTGATTTTCTTGGGGCAGGAGGGAATTAAAAAATCGTAGACTATTTTTCTTGCCAGGTGGATAAAGCAGCCACTTCATGAAGTGTAACTGTCAACAAAACATTCAGAAGACACTTAGAGGATTTTTTAGGACCCTTTCCTCTCCTTTCAAGATCAATGGCAAATCCCCTATTGACTGGAATGAGTTGAATGAGGCTGCTGCTGCAGAAAAAAAGCCAGACGCTACCTTAGCTCAACAGACTATAAACTTCCAAAAAAGACATTTCTGTTCTTTGTGACAAGGGTTCAAACTTTTGCTACACTACAGCCTATCAGGTCAATAATTCACATTTTTTCCAGGACTCCCAGCACTCTAACATCTTATCAGGTCTTCCCATAATCTCGAAGAACCACTGAGAAAAAAATCACAGGCTTAGGGGCAGAAATCCTCAGATATTGGTATTACAGCATGTCTTGGTGCTGTCCCTCCCACACACATGCAAAAAAAAAAGTTGGAAATTAAAAATAAAAATCGCAGAACAAAAGCTACTTCACATATACATCTGAACATGGTAAATTTTTTTCGGTGGAAACTAAAGACCGATTCATGTTCCTCTTCCCGCTCTAACTTATTTCCTCATTTGTACATCTGAAATAGAGGTTTAAGTTGAACATCTCCGCTCCACCCCAGTATATTTGTTGTGTATACATATATATCTATTTCTGTGAATAACATAATCAAGTGTTGGCTTGATTATTGTCTATTGAGTATTTGTTTGGGTAGCTGTATCTATTCCTATTTTGTATATGGCTTTTAAAAATTCTAACATGTATATGCATGGTTGGTAAAATATATACCAGCAAAACACATTGCATGCAGTGCTATCCAGTAGTCATTCATCGTCTGAACACGTTTTAATGGAAAAATCTGACCCCACATAACAAATGTTCCAGGAAAGCAGGGCGTGTAATACGCAGAACTTTCTCCGTGTGAGCTGGATTTTCTCTTCTGTGTCAGCACTGGGAAAGGTCTTTTTATTATTGTTATTATTATTTCCATTACAGTTATTGTCCGTGCAGATAAAAGTTCCAATTAATGCACTTAACTGTCTAGTGGTAAAAAAAGTGGTTTTTCATTGCTTTTATAGTTTCATTGTATTTTGCCACTCCTAAACAACTATACACTTTGAGTTAAATTCTTTATTGCTGCAGCAACTTGAGCTTCCACATAACAATTAAAGGTGTTATAAAGCTCATCCACCACAACCCATTATTTTGAATAGATAACCAAATAAGCAAGACTAGCTCGTGTGGTGGTTATTAGTACTTATACAGCAAATTAGTAGAGAAAACTAGGCATTTAGCTTGTTCACAGATATTTACCACACAGTCTATGTAGCCTAAAATTAGAAATGCTGATTACTGCATACATTATCTTTATTGTTGAGGTTGCAATCAATAAAATCACAAATCTTTCTTCTCTTAGGGCATGACCACAAGATGAGTTAAACCAATAAAAATCTTTTCATTGCTTTCACTATGATTTGAATGGGGGAACAGGGAGTTTATCTGAAGAATTACTTTATAGAAAAATACAAGCATTTGGGGCTGAGTTGATTGTCACAATTCCTCTTACTCCTAAGAGACACTTAAAAGACCATTTGTCAGATGATGGCATTCTGAATTGTTGGGATCTTTCTTCTGTGTCACCTATTGGCTTTCAAAAAGCTTGTGTCAGCAGGCCAAATGCACCTAATAACTAATACATGAAGAAGCATTTCTCTCCAGATGAGTTAAATATGCACTGCAGAGTTAGTCTTGCCTTATGCTTGCAAACTCGTCAGTGCTTAACCCCATGACCATGCAACCTAAGCTCGTTTGCCCTAATGGACACTCCCAGGCTTTCATCCACTGGCTCACCCTGTAAGGTCAATGGATTGAAAATTTAATATTATAAAATATTTCCACAATTTGTGGGGTCCCTGTTCATTGGTAATTGTTACATCACTTAATGCTGCGGGTGCACCTTATGGCACACCACCGTATGACCTTAACAACATGTAGCCAAGGGAGATTCTGCCCTGCCCACCTACTCCAGTGCTTCACCACAGAAATATCACGTTTGTAGAACCACTAGGTAACAGGACTCGCTCCGAAGCAAGGAGATGCCACTGGACTCTCACACCTTTTCCAAAATCCCATGTTCACTGCCAGATGTGGATCAGCATCTCCACACTGCTTATTATCCTACCTGGCTGTAGGGTCACTATAGTGTTCAAAAGCTCTCAAAGTGGTTTCAAAAAGAGTGAAAACCAAAGACAGGAATAATGCTTTTAATGCTACAGTAAAAGCAGTATACAGTTAGCATTTCATAGTGGCATAAAGTAATAATGCTTTTCTAGCAAATCCTACACACCCTGCTCTTCAGTAGGCTGTGCACGATGTTTTGAGCTAAGTTTAAACAAATCCTGCCAAATTTATGCCGCAATTTCATAAAGTAGCCAAATATCTGTGGAGAACAGACTGGCACTATGAAATACTTGGTGATTATGAGCTAAATACAATCTGAGCTGAGGAATGGAGAAATTACTTGGGCAGTGCATTAGCCCACTGTGGTGTCTCATCTCCTTGCATTGCACTGCGAAGGTGAGTGGAAATAATACGCTTGACCCCGCATTTCCGTGTCTGGCATATGTCACAAACACCAAGTGTTCATAAATGATAAGCCATCATCTATCTGTCAATCATTCCTTTGTGTTCTCCACCTAATCAAACTATTGCAAATAAAGAACAATTAGGGAGAAGACAGATAAAGCCCGGTGGTCTCACACACAGTGGGAATGTTTCCTGCCCTTCTAATTTAGCGAGTGGGGTAGCAAAGAGAAGTGTTGTCAGACCATCCTGTACTCTGCAGAGGCTGATTGTCATCTGCTAAGGTCTGAGTACTGGCACAGAATCAAATATGTGGAGAAAAACCTTATTTCTAGATGGATTCACTCGGTCCCCATCCTTGTACAAGAGAATATTTGAGGGAAGAGGCCTCTAATATTACCAGTATAAAATCAGTCAACAGTTGTTGCACATTTACAGTAGTGTGTTATCTACATTTTTTCAGGCCCAGACCTTGACACAGTCATTTTTAGGCCAAAAATTCTGCTGATATCAGAGAAGCTTCTACTGTAAGACAAGCAAGCTCTATCTACTGTGGAGGGACATTTATCTGCCTTTCCTATTAAAACCGAAGTATAGCAGCACCTGGCTTAGTCAGGGGCACGCATAATGGGAGAAATAAAGTTGTAATCCCACCGGTATAGAAGCGGTGCAGAGACACAGACAGGAGCACACCTGGGTGCTTTGATTAGCCACTGCTGCTCTTCCTAATCAGAGTGTCAATATTCTCTTTTTCTTTTTTTTTTTTTTCCTTTTTTCTCTTTTTGCCAGAAGGAGGAACATGTGAAGTTATAGCAGCACACAGATGCTGTAATAAGAATCGAATTGAGGAAAGATCACAAACAGTTAAATGCTCCTGTCTACCTGGGAAAGTGGCTGGGACTACGAGAAACAGACCTTCCTGTGTTGATGGCAAGTAGCTCCTCCTGTATATATGTCTCTGTTTGTGTACCAACCAGTAAATAGCTTTAAGTCTATATGTTATGCATAGGAGCTTTGTTGTCTTCTCTAGTTAACAAAACAGAAAAATCTGTAAGCATAAGTATACATTTACACAACCTTGCCTGCTACTTTAGTGTGTGGTTCTGTGCTGATAAGTCATGTTAAGATTTACTCAAAAAATTAAAGTATAGCATTCAGTACAGGCACTTAGATAAGTGTAACAAATTCTGTGGCAGAATCAAGCCCTTAATAAATAACTGGGCAAAATTATCACAGGACCCCCCACCCGGTGCCACATTAGTTTTGATTCATAAATTTTTCAAAGGACAATGGCCATTCATTTTGATTTAATTAGCCATTTGGAAAGTCAGTGGCAAAAAGATAAATAAATTAATCCTGTGATCTTGTCCTGTAACATTAGAGAAATCTAGGAAAAAATCTTTGTTTTTTGAAATCGCTGGTGCTGTTTCTTGTCATGGGGATTTTTTTGCTGAAGGAAAAACACCATGTTATTTGTGTCTGGGTTTCATATCAGGTCTAGCTCCACAGGGTGTATTCCTCTCTGGGGCTCCCCTGCCGCCGCTGCAGGGTGCAACCATGCAGGAATCAGGGAGAGAACTGCGTCTTGGAAGTGCTTAGCAAAATGTAAATCTCATAAGAAGATGGGGAGTAAGTGGTACTAATCCTATTAGTTACCCTTCCCAAACAAGCCGCTCCGTGTTGCAGAATCCCTCTGTGCAGCGGCTTTGTGAAACAGTACCTTGTAAAAACTCCTCACTGTTCTTCACAGTAAATGTCTGGTGCCATTGTTTATACCACCCCATACTCAAAGGTGCTTTGAAGACCCAGGGGTCATTTAGGCTAGAGTTAAGGTGGGCTCTGCCCTGGGATCTCCTCATCCTTCCCATGGCTGGACTTGCAGGGCTGGCGGTGTAGCTGCGGGTTTTGGAAGCACCCAACATTTCCTCTTTGGGCCTTTGGCGTTCAGCTTCCCCCCGAGTGAGTGACAGGGGGAAGCTGTACAAGCAAACATTGGGAAAAAACGGTTTCTTGTGGTTTCTTCTACCATGTGCAGCAAGGGAGCGTGGGCTGGCCCAGTTGTATCCCAAAGTTAGACAGGAGTATTGGTGGGTGTTGTGGACTGGAGGATTGTGTAGACAAAGCTCCAAGGCTTTGCATATTCAACACCAAAAAGATGAGAGATTGGGGGTGCCTTGGAGGGATGAGAACCTCATGTTTTCTCAGCAAGTATTTGTGGTCTGTGCATATCTGGTTTGTATATTAAAGATAGAAAGAAAATGTTTTACTATTTCAAAAATGGTTTCACGTTTTTTAAATTATGAGGCAGTATTTCATAGCTTGTTACACTGGGAATGTGATTCAGCTTCTGAGCTCGTGACTGAAAACACACTATGAATGCACCTGTGAATGATTATGCTTTATTCCACATTCTGTCATTCTGTTATTGCTTAATTACCCTTGACAAAAAGAAGCTTTTTTTTTTTTTCTGTTAAGCGCACTCATAAAACCGTAGGTGAAAACTATAGCTGGTCTCAACCAAAGTCAGCCGTACAAGCCTTGAAGAATTTCACGTTCTTCAGCAGGTCATGAAAAACAGAGTCACCAGATAGAGCAGAGACACCCCATTAATTCAGATCTCATAATTCTGTTCAGAGAAGAGGAGCTCAAAGAATGCTCTGTTCAGAAAAAAAAAGTAGAGTGCAGGTGTGGACTGGAGCCTAATTGCTCTGTCAGGATTACAATAAAAAGAAATGTTATTGTCTGGAATTTTGAAAGGAGTAAGGATAAAACAAAGGCTAATATAAAGGTGCAAAGCTAGTCCCATTGAAGTCACTGGTAAGACTCACAGTGACTTCAGAGCCAGCAAACGTGAACTACAAAGGAATGTCTTCCCCTTTCAAGTTTAGTTGTAGTCAGCCCATGGCTTCTTTTGTAGATGGCTGGTGAAGGGTTCAAAAGCTCAATATGCAGCTCGTCAAAATTAATAGAAGGGGCATTTTCTTTGGCCTTCGTTTTATCCCAGACTTCGCTTTGTAACTTTTGACATACTGACCTGCTTTAAGTCAAAACTTTGACCTATTTAGTGGTTCTTGTTAAGGCAAGAAGGCTTTCTTTGCCTAGGCAAATTCCCAAAACTTCCCATGGGAGTCCCATTGACGTCAGTGCTTTAACTCACACAAAGATTTGGGATTTGCTGTTTCTTTTGTACATGAGGACATTCCAAAAGGTCATGGACAACTTTTTACCTTCTTTACGTACCATACTGAAAGGATTAAGACCATTTAATCTCACACTGGATTTTACACTGTATACAGTTTTGAGCTGTAATCTGTCACTAAGAAAGCTTGCTTGGGTCCATTAATTAAAAATCCATGGTTATTCAGGTACAGCAGTATACTCACACCCAGCACCTTTGAGAGGTGACAAGGACTGGGAGGTCCCATGTTAGCAGTTTGACGCCCATCTGCGGTTGATTGCTGCCCCCAGCCATCTCCCCCTGACAGCTATTTAGTAGTGTGTATAGAACAAGCCGAACCTCAGTCTTGCCCTGTTTATACCATTGGCAAACAGTGACTTAATGGGATCAGAATCAAGCTTTTGGTGTTTCTCAGTCCAATTTAATCAGAAAACACCTTGTCAAGACTGATGCTTTGACAGTTTGAGTTCATGTTACAAAGGAGGGTTTGCATTGCCTTCCGCTCCTACCAGCGGTTGCTCCAGGACACAGCTGAGCTGCGTGGATGGGACTGTGTGGAGAGCTTGCTTTGTTTTCTGTTTAAGAGAGAATACAATAAGGAGTCAGCTTAACCTTTTTAATAAGTATCAGAGGTGATAAATGATCCTTTTATCCTCTTGTTGTGAGATCTCATCCTGAGGAGCACACCATCATAGTACATAGGGCTCACCGAAGCAGTCCTCCTCTTGAATGAGCTGAAATTCAGGCTTAGGGTGTGTTATTTGTACTATGAAGGGTGGGATGTTGCTGTGTATTCCCAAGCATCACTTCCTGCCAAGTACAGCAAACTCTTTTTTGGGGGCTTCATCTTAAAAAATTATAGTGAGGCCAGGCCGTGGCAGCCTCAGAAGTTATAAATTATTCCTTGCAGCTCATTCTGTAGACGCTGTCCTAAAACCTGCCTCAATAGCCAATGAATTATGTAGTAGCAATGGTGAGAGCAAAACAAAAGCCAAATCTTGTCATGAAACAGAGATGATAGTTTCTGTTTCTTTGCCTCTTCCGTTGCACATTTACTTTCATGATTCCCTTCACTACCTCAAGGTCTTTTTTTTTTTTTTTTGAAAGATGGTTTTGAATGCTGCCTTCCCTCCCTATAGTTTATCTTGCATGCCACTTGGCAGTAGCACATACCACAAGGCGGCAATCTGCTCAGCTCTCTGTCATGGCTATTATTATTTTCTCCATTTGCCCAAATACCTCTCCAGAGCAAGTCCCAAATGGATTTACTTCGTTTGTGTTACAGCAGCTTGAGAGTCCCTTGAGAGGGGAAAGCAGTATCAAGCATATCAAGGGAGTCCCCTGCCCTCTGCCTCCAGAGCACAGGGGACCTGTGCAGCGTAGCCTGTTACTGACCTACTCCGCATCCATGCTGTTGGACACAGCGAGTGCATTGGCTGTCTGAAGGTACCAGAGCAACTCCAGATCTACTGTCCTGCCCACAAACTTCAGAGATGGCCAGGGCCAGCACGGGGCTTGGATTTGCAGCTCGGACTAGCGTGCACACCCCCCTCTAGCTTCACACTTTGATGAACCTGCTTCTCTCTCGTTTTCCTGTTACTGCAGGCACCTTGGTGTGACGTGCAGGCTGTTTCTGCAAGGGTTTCTTAGCAATGCTTCTGAATTTGCACCTTCCCTCTCCAGTGTGCTTACAAACAGTTCGTCTTCCCCATTTCAGAAGCCCATGAATTTTCCTTCTCCTGCAATAGGCTCTGCGGGCCTATGAGGGCACTCAAGTGTCAAGTACAAGCAGCTGGGATTTGTCCCCTTGCTAGCTGGCACACGGCTAGTACAATTTGTCCTGTGGGTGGAGGTTTTATTCCTTTATCTTTGTTAAACGATTTGTTCTTTTGGTATTGTGGTTATCTAAGAGAGATGCTCCCAGTAATTTCCTCTGCTTCTTTATAGCAATTCCTCTTGCATCCTCCTGGTAGGGTCAGTGGGCACATGACAATTGTCCTTTCGGGTGTCAAGCCCTCGTCCTTTAGAAAATTTGTTCGCCTCTCTGAATAAAGATCAGTCAGTGGCTCCAAAATTTTAATTGTTGTCTCTTAAGTTAGTTTCCTGTTATTCCACATAAAACTAAAAGAATCCACTAAAAACCAACAACAACAACAAAACCCAAACAAACAAACAAAAAACCCAAATAAACAAACAACCCAACCAGAACCAAAACCCTCATATATTTCTCTTTTTTAAAATAGATATTTTTCTATTTTAGAATTTTTCACCATTACCACTACATCTTTTACATTAAGTGGGACTAAGATTTCTTCTATTGTTCATATAATATGTGGAGGTATTCTTAATCTTGTTCATTACTTAATCAGGGCTTCCTTTCCTGCCCCATCTTCCTTCTCAGTATGGAATACATTGAGCATAGTAAATCCCTGATGGAAAAAAAAGTAACTTTTAAATATCTTTAAAATGGCTATTTGAACATTTCCTAGGCATACTCAGCATATTCTCAAAATATTTAAATATTATTGAGGGATTTGCATTCACACTTCCTTCTGAAAAGCCATTTTGCTTTTGCTTTCTTACAACCCAAGACACTTTCTTCAAATGAATGGCTGCAGACTGCTTCAGGTTCGGTGGTTCTACCAGATCTTGGCATCATACAAGGTTTCATAACTTCAAAATAACTTTCTTGTGACAGTATCAAATGTAAAGGTTATACCAACACTGTCATATTTGGATCAGGACCGTAATG